TATCTATTTTCTTAGAGAGAAACTTATGAAAAATATATATATATATATATATATATATATATATATATATATATATATATATATATATATATATATATATATATATATATATATATATATCTGTGAAGATGCGGTAGGCAGAACCTATAAAACTTATGTGTGTGATTGTTCTAAGGTCGTAAAATTCACTAGTGAGTAATTTTTGACTCGTACGAAAGACGTAATGATCTAACTATTATCTTAGAGAAAAATTTTGTGAAATATATATATCTGTGAAGATGCGGATAGGTAGAACCTATAAAACTTATATATATATATATATATAAAGAAAGAGTTGATTGATCGTGCATATGGTTGTGATGATGAAGGGGTGGGTATATGGAGATGGAAGATATGCAACCAAATTTTCTTGAAAGGAAGAAAGAAAAGCCGAAATACTCTCTCTCTCTCTCTCTCCCTCTCTTTCAACATATTGTGTGGATGTAACGAGGTTTGTTTGAACGCAGACAAGAAACGATACTTTGGACTGCCGACGTCGCAGTCTTTGCTTTCCGCTCCAAAACACTTTGACATCTGACATAACAACGCCTGCATCCATCTCCTCGCCTCTCGCCCTCTGTTGTCAATCTCATGCAGCCAATGCGACCAAGCTTCATCTGTCGACGCACGCCTTCCTATGACGAGACATATTGTAATGGCAGAAGACTGCTGCCTGTAGCCGAATCGATCACCCATATGCAGCTGGATTACTCCCAATTCTCTCTCGCACTCGGTGCCGGACACCACCACCATGTTTTGCGTCTCCTTTCACTGCTCTCGAACAACTTCAATTCAAAGCGCAACAGAGGCGCAGGATGCATTGTTTCCTCCCAAGCAAAACGAAGCTTCCTAACACAAAGTGTTAAGATATTGTCTTACATATATTAGACCAAAAAATTTAAATTTGATCGTATGTGTGACCAAATAATATTAATAGATAACAATAGAAGGGCTACAGAACTCTTTAATTATCAATAAGTTTTTTTATTCAATTTATATCTCAGATTAGAATTAGAACACTTTTCATTCTCCACAAACGTCATAGTTAGACTCACATGAGCTTCATAGTGTCTAAGAGGGGATGGAATGTTTTGCTCTATTGCACCATATAAGAAAAACAACTCGAAATTTATAAATTTAGATTATCCAGTTATACGCATTGTCAAATACGATAGTGCAGCTCACAATTCATTCACTTGTTGTATTACCGCTCGACCAAAACTAGTATTTTTTTAATCATTTTCGAACGTCATAGTACGTGTCGAACCCCCTAAGGGACATAGGGCTCAATGTTGCTCTTGATTAGTAGGACGATAGATCTCATTTGCTTTTAACAAATCATTAGATCCCTACATTTTAAGTCATTGAAAATGAATACGAAAAATGATCCATAATAATTTATAATATTAGAGGGGAAAAATGGATACACTAAAATATATAAAGATCACACTTTAACTTAATTTTATTGAAGACTCATATTTGAATTCAACTGATTTGACTACTATAATAAAATAAGATAAACCCCATCCTCTTCATTGATTATAAAAGAATCTAATTCACCAACTGGAACTCTACTTTTAGCCTCCAGCACTCTTTATATCTTTACATATGCCATTAATGTTGGTAGCCGCTCTCCATGTCCTTTAAACATTAAATTTGCTGAGTTAAAGTATTGCATGTGGAATATTGTACCCAATCAAAGGTTCCTTCTTTCTCTTCTTCTTCTTCTTCTCCAAAAGAAATAGAAAACAGTGTGTGTTCAATCATTGAAGGGCCACAATAATGAATCCAGCAACATGATTGGTCAAAACATCTTGTAGCTCCTCCACATGGATGGAGCTATTCCAAGTAACATCATCATCTTCTATGCACCTATCACTTTGTTGAAAAGACTCTAAGACATTCCAATTCAATGTTGTTGAGTGGCCATGAAATATTAATCTTGTTGTGCAAGATGGAGAAAGTACTACCCAAATAAATGAGTAGCAGATCAACAAGGACTGCCCAAAGATATGAGAGCCAATGCAGGCAAAAAATCCACTCCACTCCACTCCACTCCATAGATTTGTTAGGAAAGCAATTCTGAGAAGAACTTGTTTAATAGCATTTTAAGAGAGAGAGAGAGAGAGAGAGAGAGAGAGAGAGAGAGAAGATAACGTCTTTTCAAGATGAATCTTATAATAACAAAAGTGACTTTCTTTCTCTCTGGATATAGAAATGGAAGACACAAGCTCTCATGATTCACTGTAATATTATTATGAGTACTAAACAAGATAGATAAGAGTGAAACAACCACTTAGTATATCAACTCAAAGCTTAACATAACAATAATGTAGAAGATAGCCTCACATTAGTAAAATATTAAAATAATATTTGTCTTTTAAAGAACTTTGTGGTGCATAACGCTAACATGTGATGATTGTATGTAATAAGAGTGTCATTTGACAATCAAAATAATAATTTATGTATTCCTATATATTGTAATTATAACTCTTTATCCTCTTCTTAAATATCTTTCACGAGTGTGTCACATACCGCAAATGTCCTAACAATTAGCCATATTGTAAGCTTACTAATTAAGATTATCTTTGACGTTGTTATAAAAACCGATATCCTTAAATTCAAAATAAAATATTTAATAATATTATTATTTTAGATATATAAATAACTCTTATAGAATTCCACGATGAATCCATTCATTCGGCACCAAATTGTCATGTTGTCACCCGTACAACAATTAACAAAAGAACATCACCCGTACACAAGAAAATATTGTCATGTTGAGCATCAAATCTATGAACCAAGTTGGCCCATCTACGAATCATGGTAGTCACATGAGAATATCTAGTATTGTGATCACCCTTTCGTAATCCATTTGATCCAACACTTTGAGCATCATTTCGTACTTATCTGCCATGATAAGCCCTCTCTTGTCATCGAGATTTGGAGTTTAGCATCTCGGTTGTTGTGTTCTCCCATGTGGAATGTACCCATTCAAATCAATTACGGCTGATTTCTTTTTGCGAGGATTTGATGTTTCGATATGCTTATTATAACTTCAATCAAGCGGAACACCTTTTAGGATTGGTTAAGATATAGAAAAGCTATCGAATATTTTAATTAGCATGATTAAGCTTCAAATGCTGATCACATAAACCTTTTCAAAGACTTCGAATTTTCCTAACATGACATATTTGTTTTATTGGTTTCACTCGGGTTGCATGACTAATATTAGTTATTAACTAGTAATTAAGTTTTATATGTTATCTTTCTTTTTCTCCTTTAGTGATTGGTTTATAACCAAAAAAAAAAAGTGACAAAAACAAGAGGGCCTATGACTTAGGTTTTGATGGATGGAAAATAGAAATCTTGTTTATTTTTAATTCATAAATAACTTTTGACATTCTATGCTCCATATGGAAATAGGGTTCATCGAATCTCTTCATGTATGTGTATGTGAAACTAATAATTTTGATTATATTTTGAGGTAAAAGTCTCGAACAGTCATTTCGGATTTTTGAATAATAATAATATTATTTGTTTATGTTAAAAAGATTTAATATTTTTAACAAAAGAATGCTCTAATAAATTGCTGAGGCATTGAAAATAGTTGGAAATGAAACGAATCCTATTGCTACAATGATAAACAATTATTTATTATTTATTTATATTTATGGCAACGATACAGTAAAATATTTCTAAAAACTCAAAATATTGGTGTGCAATATTTCACATTGATGTTAGAGATCAAGAAATGGAAAGTCAATTTCTTTTACAGTCATTTTGCGCGATAAAAACATCGAAAAAGTTTAAGAATTCATGATGTAAAACACATTTTGGGAGATTCTTCTTCTATAATATTTGTTTGTTATGTAATTATCATTAGTTTCGATTTTGATATCATGTTACCATTTTTTAGTAAATAACTGTAGTCAATCAAACATTTA